TTTTCCCTCAGTATTCTTGTCACACACGAAAAGTTTCGTGCCAAAGAAAGTGAAACTGCAGAAGATGACACCAGGTGACTCCTGTCAGGACGTCTGCAGGACTGAACAACAGAGGAAGTGTTGCTGATCTGATGAGCCTCGCTTTCTGTTGGACTTCAGATACAGTCACAATCTGCTATGATCGACACAGAAACAAGGATCCGTCCTGGCTCACAGGATCTTTTCTTGGTAAACTTTTGTATCAAAGTAGCGATGTATCCATGCATGAATCCCACGAAAACCAGCAGCTACTGATTCTGATTGAACACAGGACACAAACCCTCCTTTACAACTTAAATTCATCCATTAAATGACCACAGTCCGCTCTATTAGATTTGTTTGCTCTTTATATAATACCTCCTGTAATACATGTGGTAAAATGATTACAAATATCTTTTAACTCCTGCCGTATATCCACATAGTAAAAAAAGAGTTGATTTCCATCTTTTTCTGCAACATCTGCATCCTTATTGTTTTCCTGTTGGACTCTGACCTTCAGCATCCTACACCTGCTATGATGTGTTCACGTTATAATATCCAAGCAAGCTCAGTGTGGTGCATTCAGGATTTATCTTAATTAGTGACAATACTTTGTCACTAATTACTCAACAAGCTTGACTACTGCAAAACCTTTCTGTCTAGTCTACCTGAGATTGTTATAAATCCTCTCCAACTAATCCAGGATCCTACAGCCGAGTGCCGACGAGGACCAGAAGGAGAGAAAACACATTACAGCAGCTCCAAAGTCCCTGCAGTGGCCGTCTGTCAGTGACCTTATTGACTGCATTTCTTTTACTTGTTTTCAAAGCACTTCATTGTCTTGCTCCACTATATATGTCTGACATGCTGACAGTGTATGAACTAGCAAAGACCCTCAGGTCCTGCAGCACAAAGCTGCTAGTTTTTCCAAAGTAAAGGACACATGGGGGGGCAGCTTTTAGCTTTTATGCCCCGAGCTGCTGGAGCAGTCTGAGTGGAGGAACGGAGAACAGCCGCAAATGTTGAGAACTTGAAACTCAAAACATAAAAACGATTTGAATCTGATTATCTGCACTTGTTTGATCTCATTACACGTTGCTTTGTCCTGCTATGGACTTGTTGCTTGAACCACTTTGGCCTGAACCTGCAAGAAGTCGAGTAAAGTTTCAGTGTTTGTGCAGCAGATCTGTGCCGTGGGGATCTCGTTGCTCAGTGAGGATTCTTCCTGCTTATGTTGAGTATAAAAACATCTCCACAGTATGACCTCACAGACTGAGAAGGACCTGTGTGCTGTCAGCTTCACTAACATTGCTGGTGTTTCATTGAGTTGTGTGAACTGGGTCATGACGTCAGACAACAGGTGCATAAAATCGGAGCTGCTGTCTCTAAAGTCATTTGCATGTTTCTCGAGCTGAACGCTGCAACTTAATCCTTGAAATCGGGCATTATTCTACCATCAGAACAGAGCACGTCATCTCTGGGTGTCAGCTAGCAGCTACCTTTCTGCTACCTGCTAATCCTCTTTTCCATGGAAGAATCTTCTTTTACCACCTCGGAGAACAGCGCTGGAACAATTTGGACTGTTTTTAACTCTCGGTGGTGCCCTGATGCTTGTTTGAAATTAAAGGAGCATGTAGATCCAGAAATGGCTGATAATGCCAGACGTAACAAGCAGCTCAAATCCAGGCTCCTGTTTGTAGTTCTGTGCTGGATACGGTCATTTAAGTGCTGACACTGGGCCCAGATCTTACCCACTGACTCCGGTGGCATGTAGGCTTGCTGGCAGGATCGTTGCAGGTATCTCCTCCCTGCTTGTGCAGGTGG